AACTAATGTCCTTTGTGGGTGATGAATCTGAGGAACTGTCCCGGATTGAAGTGTCATTAGAGGAGGTTTTGGAACAAATAGAAAAACTTAATGTTAACAAATCTCCGGGACCGGATGGCATTCATCCAAGGGTTCTAAAAGAACTCAAATGGGAAATTGCTGAGCTATTATCTGTGGTTTGTAACCTATCCTTTAAATTGGCTTCCGTACCTAATGACTGGAAGGTAGCCAACGTGACACCAATATTTAAAAAGGGCTCTAGAGGCGATCCTGGCAATTACAGACCGGTAAGTCTAACTTCAGTACCGGGCAAATTAGTCGAAACAATAGTAAAGAATAAAATTGTGAATCATGTAGAAGATCATAATTTGTTGGACAAAAGTCAACATGGTTTCTGTAAAGGGAAATCCTGTCTTACTAATCTGTTAGAGTTCTTTGAAGGGGTTAACAAACATGCGGACAAGGGGGATCCAGTAGATATAGTATACTTGGATTTTCAGAAAGCCTTTGACAAGGTCCCTCACCAAAAACTCTTGTGTAAATTACATGGCCATGGGATAAGAGGGAAGCTGGACCTCCAGCTCTGCCCTCCACTCTTTGAGCTAGAGGAGAGATGTGGTCATTGCTAGCAGTAGTAGGTTGTTATCCTCCCACGGATGAGTCATGATGAGTTTTATTGGAGCTTTATCCACCACTGAAGTAAACTCCAAACAGTTCCACCAGCAGATCCCAGCAGGAAACAGGTGAGATGGGGCAGGCGGGTATCTGAGGTGGATACCTCCAGCCTCATCCTGTAATCTCCTTCTCTGCTCTGAGATGGGAGAAAAGCCCATGGGACCTTTCCAAACCCCTGTGCAGACAGATGGACAACTTAGAGCTGCCCTAGTTCTGTTCCCTCCAGACCACACCTGGGTTCCTGGATGATCCAGACAAAAGAACCCAACAACCTGGATTTGTTTTCCCAGTTTTCCATCCTCAAACCTCCTTTGGAGGGTAATCCCGTTTCAGGAGACGGATTTCCCCCCCCCCCCCCCCCCCGTTCCCGAGAGAACAGCCTCTCATTCTCATCAGAGGTCTCTTAATCCCTGCCAGCCTCCGTAATCCCAAACCCCACCAGCGCTCAGTGAGACCTCGCCGGCTGTGCAGCAGAGGCCAGAAACATCCCAAGGACTCAACGGCTGCAGTTTTCAGCAGCTTGCAGGTCTCCTGTGGCTTCCCCACACAGTGGAGAAGGGGGATGAATTTCTGAAGGACGTCCATCAGCTCATGACTCCATACCCAGGTGTTTGAAGCAGCATGAAAAGGAGCTCACAAAACGAGGTGATTGGGCATCAAAATGGCAGATGAATTTTAATGTTGAGAAATGCAAAGTTATGCTCATTGGAAAAAATAATCCCAACTATACATATAATATGATGGGGACTAAATAAACTACAACTACTCAAGAGAGATCTTGGAGCTTTTGTGGATCGTTCTCTGCAAACACCCACTCAGTGCGCAGCGGCAGTCAAAAAAGCAAACAGAATGTTAGGAACCATTAAAAAGGGATAGAGAATAAGACAGAGAATATTTTATTGCCTCTACATAAAACCATGGGACACCTGCATCTTGAATACTGTGTACAGATGTGGTCGCCTCATCTCCAAAAGGATATATTGGCATTGGAAAAGGTTCAGGAAAGAGGTTACTTTACCTCTGGATTTGGCCCTGGTGTGACCACTGGACCCAAAATCCAAGGAGGGGGTTAATGAACTGGAGAGGGGACAGAGAGGAGCCTCTAGGCCAATTACAACACTACATAATGCAGGGAGCAGAGATGAGGTTTGTTGTTACTGCTGTATGGCCGACAGGCGGAACGGAACCTGGGACCTTTGCAGCTTAGTGTATGATCCTCCACCACTTGAGCTGAAAGCACTCAGCTCAGGCTGCAGACAAACTTATTCTCTCTCCCTCTGTCAGGGTATGTCTACACTAGCCCCCTACTTCGAACTAGGGTGGCTAATGTAGGCATTCAAAATTGCAAATCAAGCCCAGGATTTAAATATCCTGGGCTTTATTTGCATGTTCCCGGCAGGTTGCCATTTGTGATATTTACAAGCCCGGACTAACTGCCTGTGGCTACACGTGGCAGGGAAACGGGCATTCGAAATAAAGCCCCTAAATCGAACTATCTGTTATTCCTCCTGCAAGACTAGGCCCGCCAGACTTGACTCTGCTCTCAGGTTTGGAGGGTAACCAAGTAGACACAAATCACTGTAAGCGAATAAATGCCAGGTTTATTAGCTATTACAGGTGATGTAAAAAGAAAAGGCAAGAGAAGGCTTACAACATCCCTTTGGCTTGCTGGGGACTCTAGCTCAGCAAAGGCTGGACTCCCAGGCCAGGTCCAAGAGGCACCTCTGTACAGTTCCAGCTCCATCGGGAAGTCCAATGGGCGATGGCAACAGTAAATGATATTCAGTCTGTGCACAAAATTCTAGAAGCTACATCTCACTACGTGCAGAGGGAAAAAAACAAAACAAAAAACCACCGGCTTGTTTGAGGAGATTCCCACAGACCGGCTTGTTTCCCTTGGAGCTTATCTCAACTATGTGGTGAGCGCAGCCATGCCGGGCATGGCCTATCTCTCTAATGAGCGAGATTTCAGCTGGAATTTTCCTTGCTACCAGCAGGCCGAAGCCTGTTTTCTAGTTGGCAGACATGAGAACTGGGCAGATTCACTAACTCCTTGAAATACAACAGTCTTCTGGTTTTCCAACCACAACACAGACTCAATGTGTTCATCTGGAGTGATTTCCTAGAGCTAAGAGATTGCTGTGTGGCTGCCTAGTTATCCGAAAGGGCACAATATTCAAAATGATAACTAAGAGTACCATGAAGCCTATAATCAGTATATTCCTGGCGATCCAGGTCACCCATCCCGGCACTATCACCACGTACTGAAGGAGCCCCCAGTTGTCATGATAAACGTTGATTTCATTTTCCCCCCACCCAGAGACAAAGACCAGCTCCGTTCCCTCAGCACTGATCACCAGCCGGGTGTTATCCTGCAGGCACGACGGCTCCTTGGGAAATTTCTCCAGGGTGAGTTCGAAGCATCGTCTCAAAATCTCCGTCATCTTCCCCCCGGACTCCAGTTTGGTCTGGACTCTCAGCAGGTTCTCAACGCTCAGCTGCTCTGGGTTGGAGTGTAGCCGGGCCAGATACACCTCCACGGTTGTCTCCTTCACGTGATACTGGAGCTCCCTGTTTTGGTAGAACACGGAAATCTCGCACTCGCCTGTCCCGGAGAGGAACACCAGAGCTACTCCGCCTCTCTGGATCAGCATCTTCGTGTTCTGCTGGACGTAGAGGGGCTCCTGTTTGAACTTGTCCTGGGCATGGATGAAGCAGTCTCTCAACTCGCTGGTCATCTTCCCCCAGGCCTCCAGTTTGGTCTGGACTCTCAGCAGGTTCTCCATGCTCAGCTGCTCCGGGTAGGAGTGGAGCCGGGCCAGATACACCTCCATGGTTGTCTCTTTCACGTGATACTGGAGCTCCCTGTTTTGGTAGAACACGGAAATCTCGCACTCCCCCGTCCCAGAGAGGAACACCAGGGCTGTCTCACTACTCTGGATCAGCATCTTTGTGTTCTGCTGGACGTAGAGGGGCTCCTGTTTGAACTTGTCCTGGGCATGGATGAAGCAGTCTCTCAACTCGCTGGTCATCTTCCCCCAGGCCTCCAGTTTGGTCTGGACTCTCAGCAGGTTCTCCATGCTCAGCTGCTCTGGGTGGAAGCGCATCCGGGCCAGATACACGTCCATGGTTGTCTCTTTTACATGGTACTGGAGCTCCCTGTTTCGGTAGAACACGGAAATCTCGCACTCCCCCGTCCCAGAGAGGAACACCAGGGCTGTCTCACTACTCTGGATCAGCATCTTTGTGTTCTGCTGGACGTAGAGGGGCTCCTGTTGGAATTTCTCCTCAGCATGGATGAAGCAGTCTCTCAACTCGCTGGTCATCTTCCCCCAGGCCTCCAGTTTGGTCTGGATTCTCAGCAGGTTCTCGACGCTCAGCTGCTCTGGGTGGGAGTGGAGCCGGGCCAGATACACCTCCACGGTTGTCTCCTTCACGTGATACTGGAGCTCCCTGTTTTGGTAGAACACGGAAATCTCGCACTCGCCTGTCCCGGAGAGGAACTCCAGGATTCTTCCGCTGCCCTGGATCAGCATCTTCGCGTTCTGCTGGACATAGACAGGCTCCTGTTGGAACTTGTCCTGGGCATGGATGAAGCAGTCTCTCAACTCATTGGTCATCTTCCCCCAGGCCTCCAGTTTGGTCTGGACTCTCAGCAGGTTCTCGACATTCAGCTGCTCTGGGTTGGAACGGAGCCGGGCCAGATACACCTCCATGGTTGTCTCTTTTACGTGGTACTGGAGCTCCCTGTTTTGGTAGAACACGGAAATCTCGCACTCGCCTGTCCCGGAGAGGAACACCAGGGTTGTTCCGCCGCTCTGGATCAGCATCTTCGCGTTCTGCTGGACGTAGAGGGGCTCCTGTTGGAATTTCTCCTCAGCATGGATGAAGCAGTCTCTCAACTCGCTGGTCAGCTTCCCCCAGGCCTCCAGTTTGGTCTGGACTCTCAGCAGGTTCTCAACACTCAGCTGCTCTGGATGGGAGCGCATCCGGGCCAGATACACGTCCATGGTTGGCTCTTTCATGTTGTAAAGGGGCTCCCAATTGTGGTAATGCACGTAGATCTCATTCTCCCCATCCCCAGATTTGAATTCCAGCATTGTCCCTTGGCACTGGATCAACATCTGGGCGTTGTCCTGGACGCTTGGGGGTTCTCGCATGAATTCCTGCAGGGCGAGATCCGTGCAGGCTCTCAGCTCATCGGTCATTTTCCCCTGGGCTTCCAATTGGCCCTGCACTCTCAGCAGGTCGGCAACGCTTAACAGTTCCAGGGCCTCCCCTTCCAATTTCACTAATCCATCTGGAAAAAAAAAGACCATCACCGATAGCAGTGGGAGCCACGACCCCTGACAGAGCCGGCTCACACATGATCTGAAAACCCTCTTGACTCGATCTTGCAGAACCCAGGGGAGGGACAGGAACGTTCGCTGAAATTGGGAGTAAATCTGGATGTAGAACATGAGTTCGTTCCACACTGCCCCCACGAGAGCAGCCATCAGCCCGCTGGCTTTCACCACCCAAAAGTTCATTCTGCTTTTCGTCGGAGAGGAGCAGAATTCCCCGGTCCTAGATTTCCGGGCTTGGCTCACAGTGCGGCTCCGATTCTTTCCTTCAGGACCTGAAGAGGACACACGGCAAAACGGTCTCAGTTTGGGGATGGTAAGGCTGTAGAATATTACAGGTGATACTATGGCAGGTTCAGGGCAGGAGGCCCGGCCTCAGTTTACCCTGCTCTGGCTGTCAAACGTCAGCCCCTTCCCAACATCTGTGGAAATTTCTGCCTCCATAAAAACATACAAAAGAACATAAAAACAGGCAGACGGGGTCAGACCAAAGGTCCATCCAGCCCAGTGTCCTGTCTGCCCACAGCGGCCAATGCCAGGTGCCCCAGAGGGAGGGAACAGAATGTAGAATCAAGTGGTTCTCCTCTGTCATCCATTTCCAGCCCCTGACAAACAGAGGCAAGGGACATCAGCCCTACCCATTCTGGCCAATAGCCACTGATGGCCCTAACCTCCATGAATTTTTCTAGCTCACTTTTGAAACCTGTCTTCACCAATCCTCTGGCAAGGAGTTCCACAGGTTGATTGTGTGTTGTGAGAAGAAAAACTTCCTTTGGTTTGTTTTATACTTGCTACCATCCATCCTTCCCTTCCCTATAAAAAAAATACTTCCCCCACTAGCAGGCTGCTTCACATGAATAGCATTCTGGGATATGAGTTTGGGGAAATTTTCTTTTCCCATGGTCTTTCCACGGGACTGAGAGACCTGGGTTCTTGTGCTAAGTCTGCTTTGCTACATGACCTCTCTGTGCAGAGTGAGGGTACTAACCTCCTTTGTCAAGTCGGTTCATGAAAACGGCTAGCTGATATTATTGTTCATCAGTTGGATTTCTATCAATATTTTCCCATTGGACCACAATATTGTGAAATAAGTTAAAGGGTGTAATAATTGTTGTTTTTTTAATTGTAATTTGAGGCCCTTGTTCAAATGTGCAGATCGATTCTCCGTAACAAAGGTTGTCGATTCTCTGCAACAAAAAAATTAACTGTAAATAAAAAATGTGTATGTTAAAAAATAACTTTAATTCCCCAATAAACCAACAAAAACTGCCAAAAATTACTGCATCTAAAAAAAAAATTAACAACCTGTGACGGCGTGTTGGGGGTCGCCCGTCTCCTGCACCCCAAAATGGCACAAACAGACTGCACCAGCCGGTGGACTAGAGGAAGTTTATTGCCTCTCCAGGATACAGCACAGCACAGATGGAATCTGGTCACAGAGCTGGGCTAGGATGCCTCAGCCCCCTTGAGATGGGGGAGACTGGGCCCCTAAACTCCAGCCCCTTTCCCTAGGCTCTCCTCCATGCTCCCAGACAGCAACTAACCCACTCTCTTCCAGCCCTGCCCCCCAGCCAGGGCAGCATTCCCCCTTCCTTTGTCCCTCTCCCTGGGGGGTGTCTGGCCATACCGGTTGAGAGATCCCTTTGCATAGCGACTCATCCTGTTTTGCTGGGTCGTGGTACCCACGGCAGCCAGTGGGGGGTACCCCAGAGCCAGCAGCATAGAAAACAACCTACGTCACACAACCCCAAACACTAAAAAAGCAAGCATTTACCTATTAAAAGAAATTATTCAGAATCCAAGACAGTTTAGCATAGGGGAAAAACGACACAAGAACCCCACAACCAAAGCCAAACGTTTGTCAAAAAACAACGTAGCCATGCAAAACTTTCTCATTCCAATTAAAGACTACCATAAAAACCTGCTTTGCTATCATTTTTAAGAACATCCTGACAAAACAAAAGCATTGGTCCAAACCAATCCACATCCCTTCTTCTCCTCTCGTAATCCCAATCTGGTTGACCACAAACTGTAAACTACTAAATAAAACATCGATTGGTAAAATTGTAGCTATGTGGAGGAAGAGGGGGGGGAGCTAGGTACGCAGATGCTAAGCGCTTTGCTACTGTATTCTCAATACCCGGGGATCTTGCCTTTCCCCCCCTATAAAACTCAGGGGTGCTCCTTAGAGGATAACACTTCATCTTGCTGTAGCCTAGTGCTGCAGGTTGGACTCTGGGGGCGAGAACCGCTGAGCACACTATCAGGAAAAACCCTGTCCTGTTACATCCTGAACCTGGAAGGCCCGTTGGCACCCTTAGCGCTCCTATGGCATCCTTTAGAGGTAAACATGGCGTCCTGCGGGCGGGCCCTCTTCTGAAGGCAGACGGCCCGGAGGGAAGAGCCGTAGTTCGGAGCTGCAGCCCCCGCCACAGGAAACGGAGGAAGGGGCCCGTCGTCTCTGCTCCAGGCTGACTAAAGGTGCATCCCACAGCCATGCCACACGCCGGGAGCCCTGGGGGAGGGTGTTACTAGGCCTCGGCCCTGCAGAGAAGTCCAGCAGAAGGGCCTCTTGCGGGTTCAATACCTTGGGAAAGCAGGGAACCGGCACGAGGGCAAGACCAGAGAAATCTGGGAGACCGTCGGGTACTTACTGTGTGGGGGAGACAGCAGCGAGACTCCCCCATACTTATATGCCCCCATGATGCAGCCGAGCGCGGAAATCAGACACAGCCCAGCAGAGACACTGTTCTCTTTTACTTTCTGTTCTGTTCACAGCTGATACTCACAGAAGCTGGAGAAAGGCATAAATACAC